GGTTCAGAAACACACAATGACACAAACTGATCACTGGTTGGTTTCTCTCAACATCTTCTGCAGCTTTTCCAGAGAGATTTTTATTTTAAAAAGTAGAAGCTTTGTTATTTCTAAACAATAATTTACACTTTTACTGATCACGATGCATCCAAAGACCTCAGTTTGTCTCTGAGGGTCTGGAGACGTCGCTTTGGGCAGAAAAAGATCAATTTATTTTGGAAATGTTGAACGTTTGGTCGACCAGCTGGAATCCTGAGGGTCCTGAGTTTAATGTTATATCAAATTGATGTCCTTCAGAGTACGTTTTAAGTCTTTGATTACAACCTTTAGGTCTTAATTATGCTTCAGACACAAAAAAAAGCATCCACACACAATGATGCTGCCACCTCTGTGCTTCTCTGTAGATGTCAGAAGATGCAGAATAACGTGAAGCAGGATCAGCTGAGGGTTTGAGTATTTACGGCTGGTTTGTTTGTTTCAGATCTTCGGCTCCAGGGTTCGCGTCGACTCGACGGCGAAGGTTGCAGAGATCGAACTCGCAGAGAAAGAAAAGATGAAGGAGAAGGTCGACCGGATCCTGAAACACGGCATCAACTGCTTCATCAACAGGTACGAACAAAAACAGGCTGCATGAATCTGAAAAACAGTGTTAAGGCAAAAGTTGACCAGCAGAGGGCGGCGGCGCTCTGCAGTGGAAGACGTTCTGATAGCAACGGTTCACGATCTAATCCTCTACTGGTCGTCTCTTCACCACGTAATGTGCTGCTTTGTGTGAACAGATCTGAGTCGACAGAAATAATCTGATTAGTATTCAAACATTCAAGCACCATTCGTTTACAACACTTTTAAAAAACCAAGTAGCTGAGGGAACGGTGGTGGCAGGATCATGATGAAGCACGGTGGTGGCAGCATCATGATGAAGCACGGTGGTGGCAGCGTCATGACGTGAAGCATCTCATCGTTTTAGCACCAATATAAATGTGACCTGTAGAAGAGACTGTTGGTGGTTCGTCACACCAGCTGCTGACTCTTTAATTTTTTATTTTCTCGTCTTTTTAAACATTTTCCATTGTTTCCTCGCAGACAGTTGATCTACAACTATCCAGAGCAGCTGTTCTCTCAGGCGGGAGTCATGGCCATCGAGCACGCAGACTTTGCCGGCGTCGAGCGCCTCGCTCTGGTCACCGGTACGTAAAAACACACAATACGTCCGATACAGCATTGATTACATGACAGTATTGATGGGCCGCTGTGTGTTGATCAGGTGGTGAGATCACCTCCACCTTCGACCACCCTGAGATGGTCAAACTGGGCCACTGCAAGCTGATCGAGGAGGTGATGATCGGAGAGGACACGCTGATCCACTTCTCTGGCGTCGCCATGGGTAACCGCATGTTTCATCACACACTATGCTGAACTGTTGGTGTGTTTGGTTGTCACCTGCTGCCTCCTCCCTCCCATGTGACCCTCTGCTGGTTGACTCCGCCCCCTACAGGTGAGGCCTGCACCGTCGTCCTGCGAGGAGCCACTCAGCAGATTCTGGACGAGGCCGAGCGCTCGCTGCACGATGCTCTTTGTGTTTTGGCTCAGACGGTGAAGGAGCCTCGCACCGTCTACGGAGGAGGTACGAACGTAAATGACGAACGCTGCCACCGTCAGGTCAAACTGGGTGTTACAGCTTTGACCCGAGCATTAAATGGCACTCATCACCTGTCATACCATCCGTGTTGTTTCGTGTTTATTAGGCTGCTCTGAGATGCTGATGGCGAAGGTGGTGACCGACCTGGCCAATAGGACGCCAGGAAAGGAGGCGGTCGCCATGGAGTCGTTCGCCAAGGCTCTGAGGATGGTGAGTCCGTTTTCTCTGGAAGGGGATGAGTGTTGCTTGTTGAAGCCGGCGGTTCTGATCCTCGTCGTTGTTCTCTCGTAGCTGCCGACCATCATCGCAGACAACGCCGGCTACGACAGCGCCGACCTGGTGGCCCAGCTGAGAGCCGCACATCAGGAGAACAAGACCACCTTCGGACTGAGTGAGTGGAGCCGTGATGCAGACTTGGACAGTACACGGGTCCAAGAAGTTCTGCTGTTCTCGGCTCATTTTAGAACCAGTTAGACTGACTGGAAACCACAGCCGGACTCAGTTTAGTTGCTTTAAGTTTCTACTTAAGAGGGCGATTTATCATTAAAGTCTTTGTTGTTAATTGTTCAGCTTAAGTGACACGGTGGAGGCAGCATCATGATGTGAAGCACGGCGGTGGCAGCATCATGACTTTAGTGATAATGTGCTGGACCCACTTCTGTCGTGTGCTGTACATCACCTAAAAGCCAGTTGCTAAGATAGCGGCTACTAGACTTAGCTGAAGCTGAGTTTACTGATTTTGCCCTCGCTGTTTGTAAATCTGCCCTTTAATGAGTCAATATTTTGGTTCTTTAGTTTATTATTTTACATTATTAAATTTGGCAGCATTAATTAAGAACAATGACTACACTTGTGCTAATAAAGCTAGCTAGCCTAGCATGGCTCAACCACATGTGTGATGCCTTTGACCCAGATACTTACCTGTGAGTTAAATCGTATTAATGGTACACGTGTTTCCCTGCAGACATGTATGAGGGCTTGGTGGGAAACATGGCCGAGTTGGGCGTCACAGAGTCCTTCCAGGTGAAGCGCCAGGTGCTGCTCAGCGCCTCCGAGGCCGCCGAGATGATCCTGAGAGTCGACAACATCATCAAAGCTGCACCCAGGTCGGTCCACCGTGATAAATAATCCGTCCTGACAGGGATGCACCTCCTACAAAACGATCATCATAGTAATTAGCAACAGAAACGTCCTCTGTGGCTAATTACTGACTGTTTACTGTTGTTGTTGTTTGTTTTTGCAGGAAGAGAGTTCCCGACCACCACCCCTGCTAGAGGACGGACGGGTTAAACCGGGGAGGGATCAGTTTTGTTATTTATCACCTCTGTGTAGTTCAAGTCAAAGAAACGCTCCGCCGTCTTTTTCTCTGTTAAACTCTCACTGTGGACGCTCTGCACAGGCTAGCCGGCTAACGCTAACCAGACGCGGCAGGGTTCAGCAGCTCCACTAATGTTAGCGGGACAATAGCTAACCTTGTAGCTGCTGTCAGCATAAAGTAATGACGTTAAAATGTTGACAGAGTTTGTGATGCTAACATTAGCTGAGGCCGCTGCTCTTGCTGGTTACGCTAACGTTAGCCGCCTAGCGCCGACAGCGCTAAGAAAGCAAGTTTGTTTTTGTTTACTGAAATAAATGAGCCAATCCTCATCAGCTGGTTTGTTGTGTGTCTTTCATTGAAATAGATCATTTCATTTAGAGAAGGCAACAGTTAGCGCTGACGGAAAACATAAATCTGCTACTTGTAGGTAAGCAGGACACGGTAAAGATTCGTTAGCATTGACGAACCCAGCAGAAACGGATTTAAACTTGGACTCATCCTGAAACTTCTTCAGAAAAGCAACATGTTTGCAGCACATTTGTTGGTTTGATTTTGCTTTCATGGAGGTTTGCATCGTTATCGCACAAAATGTAAGAGATTTGTTGCTACAGACAAACGTGTTCATTGGTGGGTTGCCTCCAATTTACTTCCAATAACATTTACCGTCAGTAGCACATAAGCTATAAACAGCATTTCTTGCTATAATTTTATAATTCAGAGTTTTCATTCACTTTGCGGTTCACTGCAGTGAAATGCAATTCAAAAAATTTGCAGCAAAGTCTGACTTTCTTTAGTCTGGATGTAGACTGAGTATAAAATTGGCTTTTACTGCAAATAAGAAACGTTGTAGCAACAAAAAAACAACATAAAATATAAATCAAACATAAATTTGTATGATTTACCGTAATGTCTGGATTATAAGCCGCTACTTTTTTGACACGCTTTGAACACTGAGGCTAATTTATGGATTTTTACGAGTTTTATGAATTTTCCTTGAGACCAAACGACGTTGAGAGCGACGAAAGAGAGACTGAGGAAGTGATGAAGTGATTCTGAGGCTGTTCAGCTCCTGAAGACACTGAAGAAGACGACTTTTGTGGTTTTAGTGCAGGAGGAAGATGAAGATAGCCATCAGTGACTTTTCCTGGTAGCTGCTGTATGTTTAAGCATTTACGGTACGTATTTAATTAAAAGTTTAACAAATCTTTCTGTGTAAATATCTCATGTTCCAACGTGGACACCTGCAGCCTGTACATGTACACACCTGGTTTCCTGTTTAGAGTCAGTGGGTGGAGCTTATATTCAGGTGCACAATAGTCCGGAATTTACGGTAACGTGTTTGATATTGATTTTTTAATATTTTTTTCTGACAAAAAGCAGCATTTGCGAGTCCAAACTATTCTACAAAGAACTACAACCAATCGGTGTTTACGTTTTTCAAAATAAAAGCTGTCCTGAAACATAAACCCAGCTACACACAGGACACGCCACCACTTCAACACAGACGCTGTAATAATGAAAGTGAAACACCTTTAAATCAGGCGTTTGTGGTTATTTTGTCCACCTGTATGTGAGTTAAAGTTCAAACCGTCTCAGCAGGTCACTGAGACCTTCACAGTGTCGACACGCCGGAGTTGCTCAACCAGACGGTTAAAAGTAAAACCAAACGTTCAGCAGAAACGTTTATTAACCTTAACATGACACTGAAAATCATTTTAATTACTAATCATTTTATTTAACTGGTTGTTATGTGAAACATTTGTTGTATTTCAGATACATAAGTGAACACAGTGTAGGGTTTGTTAAGGCACATCATAAGGTTTATTTAACGGCTTTTTCTGGAGCTTTTAACTTCATCTTCAGGTTTTCTGCAGCTTACAAAAGTCACACATGTACTTTGAATGACAGTTAATCCCTCTGAGTCTGTTTCTGTTCAGACTCTGAGCAGGTCACGGAGTTTTTGGAGTCGATTCAGATCCAATCAGAGCTTCGGTTGGACTCTGATAAACGTCCTCAGCGTCTCAGACTGATGCAGATCCAAACATGTTGAAGCTGCTGCTGCTGCTGCTGCTGTTGTTCTGGACGAGCTCAGCGCTGGTCAGGTAGGAAAACACAACGTTAGTAAGATGTTTAATTAAAATTAAAACTCTCTGCGTTAGAGCTGTAGTCCCTGAATTTTTTTAAATCATGTGACTGAAGGCTGTTCAGTTTCAATCTTTTTGTTTTTGACGGACCTTTGGAAAAAAAAACCCATGTGGAATAAAGGGATGGAAAAAAAAAACATTTCTAGCTCAAATGTTCTTGTTTTTCTTGACATGTCATTAGTTAAAGAACTTGAAATTCTTTCTGTTTTTACAGTTTCTTGCTCTAATAAATGATGTAACTTTGGTGATTTTTAAAAGTTAAAACCTGCTTTTCAAACCTGCCAACAGGTTTTGGTGTTCAGAGAAGTTTTTATGCTAAATGCTAAGCTAACTGGTAGCTCTATCTGAACCATACAGCCATTTAGAAAACAAAGAGCTGAAACGCTGAACTGCGTCGTCCTCAGGGTCCCCCTCAGGCGGGTGCGTTCGATTCGTTCGCAGCTGCGAGAGGCCGGCCTGCTGGAGGAGTTTCTGAGGGACCACCGACCCGACGCGTTCAACCGCCGCTACGCTCAGTGCTTCCCGTCCGGGACGCCGTCGCTGAGGCTCGGACGCTCCAGCGAGAGGATCTACAACTTCATGGATGTAAGAGCAACGACACTGAACGCCGGGTGAAGAGGTCGCAGGTTCGAATCCCAACGCTGCTCAGGGAAAACGTCGGCAGATCAGTTTTAGGCTAGCTGCAGCGCCTCAGTATTCCTCTGGGGGTCACTGTTGCCCAAAACAGTGGAGTATTTTAGAGAGTTGGATAGGCACGGAGCTGTTGGTAGAGATGCACACGGGCATTTGAAGCAAGCAACTGTTTAGTGTTTTCTGAATGAAACCCCAGTTGTACGTTGTGCGTCTGTTGTGCGTCTGTTGTGCGTCTGTTGTGCGTCTGTTGTGTTTCAGACTCAGTATTACGGTGAGATCAGTCTGGGAACTCCGGAGCAGAACTTCTCGGTGGTTTTCGACACCGGATCGGCCGACCTCTGGGTGCCGTCGTCCTACTGTGTCAGCTCAGCCTGCGGTAACGCAACGCTGCACAACACGACACAACACAACACTATCCTACACAAGCGTTGCGTGTTTGTATTCTTGTATTAGAGGCGGTTGTGTTTGCGGGTCAGGACGGCATGACTCGGGTTTAGTTTGTTTGAGATCGTGATAAGAAGTTCAAGGCCTGTGTGTGTGTGTGTGTGTGTGTGTGTGTGTGTGTGTGTGTGTGTGTGTGTGTGGACTTTTTGTGTTACTGTTGTCACATAAGATGTGTTCATAGTACAGCTCTGGTTTCATTAAAGTGTTGAGCAAATTTGAAGCAAACTTTTGAAATGTTGAAAAAAAGAAAGAAAAAAAAATATTTAAAGTAGTTTTGCTTCCATTAACTGCTTTGGGGAATAAACTTGGATGCACAGCTCATCAGAAGGTGGCGCTATCAGCTGCACAAGCTGTAATAAACAGTAAAGAAGTTGTAAATAAAACCAGTTATTGGTCAACTGCTGAAAAACCTCAAAGAAGATTCAAGAAACTAAACTCTTGGAAAAAGTCAAAAACCAATTCTACCAAGCGTAAAAACTTTTTTTGTGAACTTGGTGATGTTGTGTCGTATTTTGCTGTTTCCATTCACCTTTATTATTGTGATTAGGGATGTTAATGGTTAATTGATGACTTGCCATTACCAGTTTAACCAATTAAAAAGAGATTAACCAATAAGGCAGAAGGACCCAGACCATGCATGTCAGAAAATGTTTTGTAGTTTAGCTGTAGTACCTTGTGGCACCACCAGGTGGCGCCTCCTACTGTTTAATGAGATGGAAGACTGACTGTGTTTTATGCAGTAGCAACTGGTGGAGGTGGATGCAAAGATTACAGGCAGTTCATGTTATGGTTTCCAGCCAGAGCTCACATATTCAAATGAAGCAGTCGATTTCTAGGACAGCAGCCCAGTAACTAATTATCTAATGAACCAGACCTTGTTTAAGGTAGATGTCACATATCAGTGGGTAGAAATGTTTCTATCAATCTATCAATAGTTGTCCAATCTGTTCAAAATGTGTCAACAATTAGTGATAATTGACTGAAAACGCTGCCACCCATCCAGTGACAGGAAGTGCCTCGACTCTGTTGGTAAAATTCAGATTTACTGCAAAGTTTTGGTTAAGGTCGGGTTAAGTGTCTGGAAAAATAAGTCGATGTATTTGTGTGTTCACAGTGCTGCACAAGCGCTTCAAGGCCTTTGAGTCGACGTCGTACCGTCATGATGGTCGATTGTTTGGGATTCACTACGGAACGGGACACCTGCTGGGAGTCATGGCCAGAGACACGCTGAAGGTCCATCCTGGTTTATCTTAGAATGTAAAAAATGTCAAGGTTACAGTAGAGCTTTAAAGTGGGATGAAGACAATGTTATATGACAGAAACATTTTGCATCATCAGTCCAAAAGATCAACACCAGCGGTACAAAACATCTGGTTCTTTGATATTAAGTCCAAGATAAAGTTCAAGATTAAAAATGATGGCTGCCGAGGTGGCTCAGCCAACGACTGAGCTTTAAATTAATTTGTTTGTTGCTGTTAATGGTGAGCAAGAGCTGAAGATTATAACGTCTGTGTAGATTCTCATCATCCAGGTGGTGGTAATCCTAAGGAAGTAATCTCCTGAGGAAGTTACTTGCAGTTGCGTTGAGCTTTTGAAGACACTGGAGAAACTGAAGGTGTACCCTGTTTTCTAACAATCTGTAACTGGTTGTTATCTTCAGATTGGGAGTCTGACTGCTGTGAACCAGGAGTTCGGGGAGGCCGTGTACGAACCTGGTGACATATTCATGATGGGGAAGTTCGACGGTGTTCTGGGACTGGCTTACCCATCCCTGGCACAGATTCTTGGAAACCCTGTTTTTGACAACTTGTTGGCACAGAAGGCATTGGACAAGCCGGTGTTCTCCGTCTACCTCAGCAGGTGAATTCACACTAGGAGCTCACCAGTACAACCAGTTCAGGGATTCACTGTCTTGCTTAAGGGGTGCATTCGAGTGAGGAGAGTTCCTTGTTTCAGCCTGTACAGGTTTTATTATTCTGTAGATCAACTTTCAACCTTGTCGTTTCCCAACGTGAATCCTCCAGAAGTCTTAAATGAATGTCAAGAATCCATCTGAACCATCTGGAACCTTCCAGAAACATATTTGAATACCAGTAAATCCTCCAGACCACACTCCTGGAGCGACTTTCTCAGGAGTTCTAGATCTTTTATAGTCCTCATTTGAACTTCCAGAAAACTACTAGGCTACTTTAAAATGATTAAATTCTGCTGCAACCCCAGTAACATTTGGAGTCTCTTCAACAACTTGATCCATCCCAAAACCTCCAGAAGCTTCCGGACCACCTCAGAATCTCTTTGATTCTTAAACAATGTTTCGTAAAGAAATAAGTGTACATTTTTAAAGAGTGTTGACTGGAATGTGATTTTTGTCCATACAGGAAAACAAAGACCACCAGCCCAGAAGGAGAACTGCTGCTAGGCGGAATAAATGAGGCGATGTACACTGGACCAATCAACTGGCTGCCTGTAACCACTAAGGGATACTGGCAGGTTAAGATGGACAGGTACATTTTTCTTGGTCAAACATCGCAGTCTCAGTCAGTTAGTTCTTTATCATAAAGCAACCACTAGATGGCAGTGTAAACTGTTTTTTTCTGTTTGTTTCAGTGTGGCGGTGCAGGGTACCAGCTCGTTTTGTCCTCACGGTTGCCAGGCAGTTATTGATACTGGAACCTCCCTTATTGCTGGACCGCCCAATGACATCTTCAGCCTCCAACAGCTGATCGGAGCCACGCCCACAAACTTTGGAGAGGTTAAAATCAGTCTAATTCTATAGGTTACTGAGAGGTTAGATTAAACTATTGCTATGCTAAAGATAGCAACTCATTAAGCGACTGAACAAGGTGCTAATGCCTAGAAATGCTCGTTGTTACACTGGAGATTGTAGCCACTAGCCTATGGATGCTGGTTGCTAGCTTAGGAATGCTATTTGCTAACCTGGGGATGTTGGTTGCTAATTTAGGGATGCTATTCACTAGCCTAGGAATCCCAGCAAGGGATGCCAATAACAAGTCTAGAAATGCTAGTCACTAGCCTAAAGATGATAGTAAATAACCTAGAAATGCTTATTGCTAGCCTAGCAATGCTAATAACTGATGTGACATGTTATATTTTTGTTAACATGTTAACACACATCTTGCTGTGTTTCAGTTTCTTATCGACTGTGTCAGGTTGTCCAGTTTGCCTCATGTAACTTTTGTTCTGGGTGGAACAGAGTACACGCTGACTGCGGACCACTACGTTAGGAAGGTGAGGTTTATTATTTTGTTTGACTTGTCCTCATGTAGCTGTCAGACTTTGTTCTGCAGCTGGCTTTATCTGTGGTGAAATATTAGGAAGTACTACTACTACAAATAAACTTGATCATACACTGTCTAAAAAAAGATGGACGTCACCACGTTGATGTCAGCCACTGGTTTGGACGTCTTTGTGATTTGAAACATATCGAGTGAGCGATGAATCTGACAGTAAACTTAAGGATACTATGTACATCCATATGATCGCGACCCGTCAATTACAAGCAACCCTGCCCTAAAACATACTCTGCTTTATGCTAAATGGGACCAAAATTTACCAAAAGAACACAATGTTATACTGACGCAGAACATAAACTCATTATGAAGATGTTTAATGAGGTAACTGACCAAGTGAAAAGTGGGGTCATTATCTCATAGACTTTTATACAGTCAGAATTATTTTTGCAACCACAGGAGTCTCACCTGCTGGTTTTTAGACAGAATACAGGTTTAAGGCACTTCTGCATTGGCTTCACTTTCCAGACCTGGAGGCCACGTCCATCTTTTACATTCAGTCTATGACTCGAACAAACTGCAAATACACAGTCTGAAAATGTCTTCCAATACCACCGTCCTGCTTGTCATCGTCAGGAGATGCTTGGCGACAGGGAGATGTGTTTCAGTGGTTTCCAGGGCATTGACATTGTTTCCCCTGAGGGCCCCCTGTGGATCCTGGGAGATGTGTTCCTGACAGAGTTCTACAGCATCTATGACAAAGGACAGGACCGGGTCGGCCTTGCCCGGGCTAAGGAACCAGCTGAAAAGTAACCTGGAACTCAATCCAAACCAATAAACACTGCGCAATTTAAAAGTATTTTGTAATTCATGGCATCACACCAACAAAAAAAGAACATCTAGCAGCTAGCTAGCTTGCAGCAATTTGCTAAATATCACCACTGCAGGACCAGAAATGGCCTCAGAATTGGCCCTTTCAGCCCTTCTGTTTTCATTGCATTGCATGAAAACAGCATCAAAACTGCATCATTCATTGCATAGGATCCACCAGCTTTGACCATAAGGCTAACTCAAAGGGCACCAAAACAATAAGAAATAGCAGCTACTGGATGTACAGTAACTTCAGTTCGATGAACAGGTAGGATATGGAACAGTGGAGGTTTTGTATGTTTTCTGCTACTGATACTCAATGAAGATGTCGAGAGTGTGGAAAAATTGCGTCTGTCTCGTAGATCTTCTCTGAGTTTAACCAGTCAGCATAGAGAACTGAACAGTAGTGTTTCAGGGCCAGTTAGAAGTACCTCCTCTGGAGTAGGCACTCTTTTTAACATGGAAACAGCTTTTAAAGAGGCCCTACAAGAGCGGTTCTTGCAGCAGGAATGTGTTCAATCGTGTGAGCCACCCTAAAATGGCCTTGAAATTCCTGCAGTGGAAAACATCCTAAGGATAAAGAACCATTACTAGGTGTTCAATACTGACAAGATGACATCATTCGTCATTGTTGGTGACCCATCAAGAAGTAGGTCAATATTTTATTTGAAAAAGTCATTTTTGGAGATTCAGCAGCAGCCACAGATAGTGTACATTAATTAGTTTATACATTTACGAATACAAACAGTAATCACAATTCTTAAACCCCCCTGAGTGTATCAGTAAGTGCTACAGTTCCTCTTATGGATACTAGATGGCGTCCACTGGTGGATGGAATACCTCCAACTTTCCTCTAGAAAGTCCACACAGATTATTGTTGCAACAAATTCAGCATAATTAGCTCATTTCACATCTGCATTGAGAGCAACTCTTCCATTAAAACGTCATTAAGGCATGAAGAAGGGGACGCTTACAGGCGATTTTTCTTTAATAGCAAGTGTTTCACCCATAGCGGTTTTCTTTAATGGGAGGCTTTTGTCTTTGGTGTACCAGCCAGACTCAAAAACAAACGTTTTTGGAAATCTGCAGGAAGCTCGCACTTTTTGAGCAAGTATACGTTATTTTTCTTTTTCGTTTCTTCGTTTACCTGAGTGTCTACAACAGAGGTGGAGAGTGCAAAGTTAACCTGACCCATAGAAACGCAGTACATACGTTAATGGGGAATATGTCTGGATGTGTTTCCAGACAAAGCTGGTAATGAGTGGTAAATGCCCCTTTACAGGTTGGTATGTCCAGCTTTCCAGGCATTTGTTGCTTCAAAACTACAAAACAAAAGTCAATTTGAGCCTTTCTCTTAGACCAGGTAGTGACTCTTTCTTTGGGGGATGCTGTTAGCAGCTCGGTGGCTGATTCTGTTTGGTCTGACTGGATGGTTGTGACTTATTCCTTTTCTGTGCTCTGCGACTGGGAGTTAGTGTTTTTCGTGTCTTCGCCATTGCTGGTTGCTTCCTTCTCGTCATTCTCAATCTCTGTTGTTCCCTGGAAGTCATTGTCATAATCAGGGTTGGGGAGCTGCAGCGTGTCAGGTGTTGGACCAGGTGATCGCCGGTATTGGAACCGACCCAAGCCTCGCCTTCGCCGGCCCAGGCCCTTTGGACTTGGCAAGCTGCGGACAGATGCTTTCGAATTCTGCCTGGAGAACTGGAGTGAGAATTGACGTCCTCGTGGCCGGGTTGGTGGGTGACACGGAGTGTTTAGTGTCGTCCAGCGAAATTCTTTGGGCCCCAGTTGAGTTGGGGAGCAACATGCTACCGGGTCAGCCCTGTAAATACAAGGAATGGGTCACGCCAGAAAGGAGAGTAAGGCCAGGACCGCAAAATGAAAAATTTGGTGAAATTTGTATAACTTTTGCAAACCCATTATGTCAAAACCCTAACATAATGGTTTCACTATGGACACTGTTAGAAAACAAAATAGGGCAAAGTTGGAGGTCATGAAAACCAACCTTAGGATTTCCAAGCCTGGTCCCTCCTCGGTGGGGGAATGATCGAGGCCATTCTGAGGTTTGTCAAAAGAATCTGCAGTGTGACAAGCATCACCGAACAACGGCGGGCTGATGACAAGCTGCGGGAAAACAGCAGAGGGCGAGCTTTCAGGTGAGGGCGGGTTGCTGCTGACCTCCCTTAAGGTTGACAGGGTGTCCATGGAAGGTGGGGCCAAGTCGTCCGAACCCGTCTTGACCCTGGAAGGGTTTAAACAAAATGAAATAACCAACGGCAAACATAAAGGTGGTCCCGAATGTAAACTGTGGACAGTTTTGCCAGATGGTTTTACTGTTGATGTGATGCTGTTAAACCAAATCTATTATTACCAGTGTGACACTTGTCATGTAGGTACATGTTGTACAAACACACCAGTACCTGAAGTCTGGGAAGAAGCTGCCAGTTGCGTCACTGCTGTGTCGTTTGAAAGCGGGCCGAGGAGGTCGGAGATCAGGAGGCTCCTGAACGCTAAGCAGTCGGCGGACTCGACCGAGAACCTGCAAATATTAAGAAATGTTACCACAAGAAAAGGTAACCATCTTTTTGAAAATCTGCGAAATTTCCATTCAAACTAATTAGATTCATGAAAGCCGAAATGAGCACGCTGCTTAAGACTCCAGATTACTGAATCTAATAAAGTTGTTTCTGCACTCTGAGGTTCAGGAGTGATGGACTAAAAGTGTTCATTAATGCTCACAAGGTGGCGCTACTCACACTAGAAGGTGTTCATTTCTTTCCTAGTTAACGGCTAGATATCGGTCAGTAGTTTTTAGTGCTAATTTGCTGAAAAACAATCCTTAATGATCAAAAACCTTCTTTACAAAGGTAAAGAAAAACTGTTGTACCGACTCTTGACGCCGAGCCAAAATAGAGTCCTGTTGCCGCAGACGACTGTCGCTGCCGTCGACGTCATCAAACTGCAGGATGTCGGAGAGTCTGGAGGAGACGTTAAACAAAAGTTTAGAACTCAAAATCCAACTAACTCACCAACAGCTACACTGAAAAAAAGGTCAACAGTAGTTCCAGCTCCACAATGACCCTAATGAGGAAAGCCCAACGAACTTCCTGTAGCAGCTACCGTAACACCCAGAAACAATCAGGTTCAGCCAATTGAAATGAGAACCAGTATGAATATGCATGTTGACCCCATATCGGTGGTGGAGCCGAGGAACGACGGGATGCAGTAGTCTGCAGCCGCCAGAGTGTACGGAGGACGAGCGTCGCAGTCGTTCCAGTACATGTCTTTGGTCATGTGAGGCAGGTTCATGTGCATCTCGTCCACGGCGAGAAGAGACACCTGAAGGAGGCAGGAAGATTTTAGTGAAGCTTCTGTTAACTACAAACAACCCACTGAGAGATTCATTGTTGTTATGTCAAGAAAATTAGTGAATTTTACACTCAAGCCTGCAAATTTCTCAGTCAGGAACATTGGACCTAACAATACTGTTAAAGCTGTTTTGTATTGCTGCCCTGGTGTACATGTAGGAACAACTCTAATGTTGGCATTCTAGCTTTAGCCATGATAATCTTTATATAATCAATTTTAGGCCTGAGAATTAATTCAGTAGTTTCTATTTCTATTCTTAACTTGTGATTGAATAAACACCATCAGAGTGTGGATACTTTCGATTTTGAAAACATTTGCGAAAACTTCGTAGTATGCTATAGAACATAGAACATAGTTAAGGGATCTGAATCCATAAATGTGCCTGTTCAACTGGACATAACCTGAAAATATGAGCGCATTTGAGCTTCTTTGGCTGCTGACCTGAAGGTTCCTGTCGATGATCCAGTTTGCCTCAAAGTCGTCGTCGTCTTCTCCAAAAGGGTTGATCAGCTGCTCTGCTACCTGACAGAAAAACACAAAGTAAACCTGGAGTTCAGTCACCCGGAAATGTTTGGCTCTGTTGCTGATCTGACATTCGCTAGCTTGTTAGCTATTCGGTATGCTAACCGGTTGTTGGCAGTAGAGCTCACTTCCAAACTATTTAGGTCGTCGTCATTGGAGCTAAGCTACATGCTAGCAGCCACCGCGTTGTATTTTCCAAAGTATGAGAAAATGAAGGACAGTCATAGCTTCACTGGAACATGTTTCCTTGTTGGGCAACTCACCAACAGCCAGTTGCTTTGGTTTCAGTTGCAATTACCCGTTGTGACCACAGGCGTCGCTGTTGTAGCTGTTCAGCAAAACTTGCATAATTTCACTTATGTAGATTATTAATTCACTTGTTTGCACATTAAGTCTATCAGTTCACCCCAAACTCTACAGGCCTGATGTGCACGTTCATGCTCCTGGGAGGATGAACCACGTTTAGTTTAAGTGTTTTCTTTCAGCTGCACAAAGGACCATCTTAAAATCTTTGGTCCCGCTACTTGTGTTCTGACTCTGAGGCTCATTGAGGATTTCTGGCTCGTGTCCACCAAGTAGTTTATGGAAACTTTATACGGTGTGTTATTTATAAAACACGATAAGGTCAAGAGATGAAAAACAGGTCGACACACACCGACGTACGTCATTCAGTCTGAAGGAAAACAGGCTAGAAGAGTGATGGTCTGATTTATCTCTATTATATATGCATAAATATACACGATAAGCTGTTACACAACTGATACGATTTGTTTAAGGAACAAGTCTGGTAATATGAAAAACAACAAATCTCATGTAAAACTAAATCAGCAATGTTAAAGTCCAGTGTTTTGATCAATCTGTGTATTTTGCAAATTTTTGTTTAATATTTTACTATGAAAATATAAATGGAAAAATTCTTCATATTTTACGAAACTTATTTGCAGTTTTTTTTAACCGTAAAATTACTAAAATATGAATCATAAAACTCTAAAAAGCTGATTTGTTGTTTTGTAGCTAAATTACTAAAATGTGAATTATAACATCCTTCAAATTTTACAAAACAGTTTTTTTATGTTTTACACTGAAACTACTAAATATGAATTATGAAATACTGTACATTTTAGAAAATTAAATTGTAAAAAATAAAATAAAATAAAATAAAAAGTCTTGTTTTTTCTGGTGCTAAAATACAAATGATAAAATTCTTGAAATTTTACACATTTATTATGACATTCTTGAAATTGTACATAATTATGTTTGTACATTTTTTTGCTGTAATTTGAAACTACTGAAACATTATTTATAATATTCTAGAAATTTTATGTATTGAATTTGTAATTTTCTTGGTTCACAGTGAAAATTGTTTTTTTTTATTTATTTACAAATTCTTGAAATTTTACATTAATTCGACATTTTTAGTTTTACAGACATGGTACAAACCCATGAAAATACATTTGACATAATTAATTTGCCATTTTTTCCATTTTACTGTAAAACTACTAAAATATTTTTTGCTAAATTCTTTCTTTCTTAACTTTTTTTACATAACTATTGTGCACATTTTTTTCCCTATATTTCTTTAATAAGTGATTTAAACTGTGCAATCTGTTATAATAAAATGAGAAGTTTTTAGATCATAAGTTCATAATTCTGATGGATGCGTTTGTATGATTCAGACTTTAGTTTTGGTAAATGAGTAACTTGTTTCACATGTAAACACACTGTTAATGCTGGCGTCTACCCAGCAGGGGGCGCTGCAGAAGCAGGTTAAGAAGAAGTTTCTGACCTTCAGCCAGCCAGAGTAGAAGAAGAACTGCAGCAGGGTGAAGATGGGGACGTACAGGTCAAGGTCGTGCCCCTGGTAGCCCCGGGTGGGGTCCAGAAACTGTCGACCAATCAGACAAGCGAAGAAGAAGGTGTAGACGGCGAGAGTGACGACCTGCAGGGACGAGCAGACGGAGGTTCGTGGGTCTGGAGATGTTTCCTCTGGTTGTGTGGGAGCTCCAGAGCTCTGATTCACTTACAGTAATGACTGCTGATGTGATTACGGCTTTAAACATGTTAGCGTGACGGATGACCGACCTGAGTGTAAACCAGCGGGATGCCGACCCAGTCGTAGCCGAACAGAGTCGCACACCAGGTTCTGAACTGGTTCATCTCCTGGACACAGACAGAAACAACAACAGGTTTTCACTTCCTGTCTTTCTGTAACTCAACAGATTGATTTTAAAAAGAGTCCAGCAGAGGAACAAGAAACACAACAACGACAACGATGCTCTGCTGACTTTATGTTCATGGGATTCACCACCAGAGTCACATAAAATCCCAGAACACAGACTGATGTCAGTTCAGGTAAATAAAACGAACACCCAGTTGTTTACTTGTTGTGATCATTAAACACAACCTGTGGAAACCTGAAGTCGCCTCATTGCCATCAACAGGGTCAGAACAACTCTGGTGAGTTAGAAACAGCTGGTTGTTTATCAGAAAGTGAGACATTAGATGTGTTACGGATTAGAAAAAGTCCACGAAAATGACGAAAATTTAGAAAAATAATATCACCAGTTTTGAAAAAAAAGTTGTTTTTGACTTTCCCTACAGTAGCTGGTGAACTTTACGGCTTTATCATGAATAACTCTTAGAAACAGTCAAACTTTTGGTTGTTTTGTGACGAATTCAAAACTGTCGCTTAAGATTGTTGTAATTTGCTGCAATAAACAACAGGTGGCTTCAAATGCAGGAACTCGGAGCAGGCACCAGGTGGCAGCAAAACGTAATCGTCCCTTTCACGCTTTCTGTTCCGGTGTAGAAACCAGCAGCTGAACTCCAGTGAAACGCTGACAAACGCTGGTGGTTTCACTCCAGCTCTACGCAAATAAAAGAACAACGGGGATTCGTTATATTAGCCTGAACAGTGACTGTAACGTTGGAGATGATGATGTTAGAGAGGAGAAGACCGATACTGGACGAGAACACTCATCGTGTTCTCCAAGTTAAACCAATCGGTGTTGAGTAGGTATGTTCTTGTTGCTTGAAAGAGGTTCTACTGGGGCGGTTCTTGGAGTGGAAAACAACTTAACACATAGAAAACCGTCCACCGTTTCTTGTTAGCTAGCTTTTCTGTGGCCGGTTTGTTCGTGTCGCCTGTTACCTGTTTCGTAGTTATAACGTGGATGCAGGTGTTTGTAGGAATGAGCTCAAACGTCTGTTGTTAATGAGTGTTGTTTCGAAGTTTAGCTTAAGTTTTACGGACCATCGCAGCCGCTAATCTGTTAATGTGTTAAAAAGTTCAGCGTTACGTTGAGAATGTTCTGCAGGTCGATGCTGTCCTGGATCCGTCCTTCCTGCCGGGCTTTAGACGCCAAGTTGGAGAACCAGACGACGGGAATCCAGTACTTCAGGTGAGGAGACCGGATGTTCTCGAAGACCTTCCTCTCCTCAGGAGTCATGAAACCTGCAGAGACGGATTATTCAAAACTGGCATGAAGGCAACCAAGTACGTTTTTTAAATGTTCTTCAAGAACACCCGATACTATCTACGGTTCAGTCTATTCTTTAGAAGGTGTTTTTATTATTTCCAAGTGATTCACCAGAAACGTCTCAAACAGAAGCCGGTAAATTCACAATTTTCTCAGAGTTGACCAAATGTTTGAGCTGGTTGAGGAATGTTTGCTGCTGAATACGGAAAAACTATCATTTTAAACAAATAAAACTCTGTCACATTCAATGAATACTGATTTTTAATAACGATTTATTAAGCGTCTCTAAAGAAATCCAACATACGTGAGAATCCAGACTACGTGTTTTCATTTCAGCCATTTTGTTTTTATATTTATTTGTGTATTTTGCTCTGCTTGCCGTCAGACCTGTTAGTTCGTGGATGCTGTTGTTCATTTTTAAATCATTTTTCACTTTAACTGGGTCATTATCTTTAACCAGCATCGGCCCGGATCATAACTATCAAACATTCATTCCATTTTCAGTCCTTTAACCCTTTAAATGCCGGTTAGTTTACATCCCATCACTGATGTTTTTAATGAAAAATATAAAAACAAAACACTTTCCATGAACTAAGGTCTAAACAGATTGTTTTTCGTTGATTCTGTTGGACTCCACACTGACTCTACAGTTCAATGCTGTTGCATAAATACGTTTTTCATCCATTTATTGCAGAAACGCCGGTCTGAGGTCATCACTCAGCTCAGCTCTAATTGGTCGATAACGAGCCAATCCCTGGGGTCGTATCAGCCGGTTACAGGAAGGAGCAAACAGAGCCGGGAAGGACCTGAACTCTGTCTGACTTTTACATCACGTCACTGTTGAGACATCGTTTTGTTTTCTGTAGATCTTCGTGCAACCTTCAGGACATTCATGTGCTGATGGTTTTGGTGAAGGTACATATCAATATATCGTATTTTCATGTTTTTGGACATTTCTCGTCTGTGTTGCTTTTAATGGTTTAATGAAAAACCAACAGAGAACCGCGGGACAACGCTGGGACAACACCGGGACAACACCGACGCTAACCTGCCTCGACCACGTGGTCCACGGTGGGGAAGCGTTTGCAGACGGCCGTGCTGACGGAGCGGAAGATGAGCAGCGACGTCAGGTTGACGTAACGAACCAGCGTCCGGCGCAGCAGGCGGCCATATTCGTCTTTACCCTGAACACAGCTGGAGGCAGAAGAGACAGAAAGTTGTTCACTGGTCAGGATAAATACTGACCGACCACCTGTGCAGGTACAGCTGAAGCATTAAGCAGCTGAATGACTTCATGTTACCAATAAAAACAGTTAAATTCCTGCTGAAGGGAACCAACCAGCAGGTCTCAGTCAATCTGACTTCATACGTTTCATTTGGTTTGATGGTAAAAATGTCTTTAAATCACATTTGGAAATGTGATAAATTATAAATATAAGGTTTATATTGTTCATATTATTTCATTTAAATAAAGTCTGAACATATTTAGTCATGTGCTGCCTTTCTTAAAATATTGTTCGTAATATAATTTCATGGTTCTGTGCTTCTTTATTTTATAAAAGGTTGTTTTATTGTCATCTGTCTATTTTGTGTATTTTTTTTTTTTTTTTTAAATGTAAAAATATTTTTGGACGTCATCTTTAATTTCTTTTCTTTTTTTGCATTTTATTTTTAGATGACTTCTTTTTTATTGTTTTAATTCCTCTCTAACCACTTATTTATCTTCCATTGGGTTCCTTTTCAGTTTAATCTTGGTAACCGATTACAAAAACTTTATTCATGCAGAGGTTTTACAGTCAATCAGAGACTTTTGAGGAGGTTTTAATTTGCTTCTTTCTAAACTGTCATGATCTTTTATTCTTTTTATCTAGATTTTAGGAAACACTTTGTTCTCTTCTTGGTGTTTTACTTTACTTTAGTCTCCTAATCCACGTGTAACCAGGTTGGACAGTCACTTTGAATTTCAGTTTATGTGTTTGAAAGATGCTAAACAAATTAAGATGTATTGATTGAAACCTGAGCAGTTTTCTAAAAATCAGGACCAATAAACCTGTTTCTGTCGTTAGATTGCTGCCTACAGTGGTTCTGTAGTTCCTGTCTCCTCCTGCAGGGGGCAGAACAGAGCGCTATGTCGTACCTGGAGATGTGGAACATGAGTCTGTCGGGCCACGGGAGGTTCACGAACTGATTCCACCACCGGTTCACCACCAGGGTCACGTAAAACCCTGGAACACAAAGACGGAACGGTGAAAACCTGGTTTCACAACAACGACCCTGATGATGGCGATCAGGGTCGTCACAGTTCAGACACGATGGAGGCGTTAAAGAGTCGGAACTCCATTTATATACTGTTGGTTGCTTTATTAACTGGAGTTACTGAAACTATCCTTCATTTTAATTTCAGAAATGCAACATGAAGATGTTTTGGAGTTACAGCGGATGTATCCACCCCGACAGCCGAACCAGGGAGGAGATCAGCTCCACGAACACTCAGCCTGCTTTTAGCTTCCTCTGCTCTTTAATGATCTGTTTCCATTAGCAGCCTGCTAATGAGGCAACCCAACACTCTGCTGTCTGTCTGTCTGCTGAGGCAGGAAGCACAGATACGCTGATATTTCAGCTTTTCAGTCTCTTTCATGGCCTTCGAGTGTTTCTTTAATCTCTTGCCTTTTACTGCAGCATCCAAACGCGACACCCATCCGTCAGTCAGCCGGTGCGACCGGGTGTTAAGCCTTTTGCTCAGAGGACTAATATTAGCCAGACTCCTGCTGCGTTTATTAATAATGACACACATCGGCTGCCTACTTCAAACCCTCGCGAATCCGAGAAGTCTGTAATCTGTGAACGATTAGGAGTGAGATCTGGGGAGATAATTAGACGGGTGGTGATGATGGTGTTGTCTTGTGGGGGTTGCTTCTGCCATTAGGAGGCTGTTACGTAACGATTCAGTAGCACGGTCGCTCGATGGGTTCAGGGAGTTTGTCGGTTAACAATCAGAAAACACTCTTGTGTAAATGTAAAGCCAGCAACGTACTTTTCGATGTGATGATGTTGATGTGAATTCCTTTAACAGATGCAAGATCTAGTCCTTGATGTGCTACGTGTCCGTCCACCAGCCCAACCTCCTCCCCTTTATACAACAATGTAAAACAAACACTACTTCCTGTGTTGCCCTGATGCAGAATTTCCTGATTTACAGGTAATACGAGGCTCTGGTTAGACTGTAAATGAGGTGTTATCGAACACGTCTACATGCTTCACGTTGTTGGTGATCAGGCCCAAATTAAACCAAACCACCTGCTTCCATCTGCAAACATTTAATTTATTAGATCTACAATGTCAGAAAAATATGTGTGTTTTTCCAAGATTTATGGACGTAGTGGACTTTATTCCACCTGTTGCGCCATCATGCTACAGCAGCAATAAGCATAGACAACATAGACCTTTGAGAATTTCTTTTTGACATTTTGACAACAGAACTTTGGTAAAGACACAACGTTTGAGGAACATGAGGAAGTTGAAATAAATTAGTCGAAGTGCTACCGATGCTGTGAGAGTGAAACTGTGGTCGGTCGGTGAACGTACCCAACACGAAGGTGACGGGAATCTGCTCGGCGTACTTGTCGCAGTACATGGAGAGCTTCTCAAACAGCCTCTTCTGGTCGTCGGAGAGGACGAGTCTGGAGGACAAAGGACGCCATCGTCACCACCAACAAACAACGAACAAACGTTATTCCTCTTTAGTTCCTCCTTGAACGCTCAAATGTTGTCCGAATGTCAAACTGCAGTTTCTCTTGTGGCCACTAGAGGCCACTCTGAGAAAACTCTTAAACGAACTGTGTTAAAAAAAAATCGGTCAATGAAAAATTTTCTGCAAAACCTCTTTATAATAATGTGGTGCCTTTATAAAAATAGTTCTATTAAAAATATGAAGAGCTTAGTGAAACCTGTTTTCAAAATCAGCTGTAAAGGCCTAAAAGAGTTTATTGTTCTGAGCTGTTGAGGTTTATTTCTGCTGTGAAGTCGGACATTTTGATACGGAGGTCTACGGGGAGCTGACTCACTTTTGAAGCCCTCCAGTGGACAGTTGGGGAACTGCACTGCAACCTTCTCCATCTGACATTTTACCATTTTCAGAATCTCCTTCAACAACCTCCAATCCGGTGACTTACCACGCTGAAACCTTCAAGTTTTGCTAAAGTTCTGGATCGCGTACAAACCTGTTGATGACCCATGACTCAAAGTCCCTTCGTTACTATTCTGAGTAAACGCTGTTGACGCGTCTTGTTCTTAGCCACATACAAAAAGATTGCGATTAGTTTAAAGAAAGACGAAAACACAGACAGAGAATGGTCTGACACTGTGAGACTAACCAGTAACAGCCTGATCAGATAGATTTTTTTAGTTTTCAATGTTAACACAGAGGGGGGCGGGGCTTGTGACCTGTATTGCAACCAGCCACCAGGGGGCGATCAAGATATTTGACACAGCTTCTCTCTTAGGTCACATTTATTTACTACATTATGGTTGTTTTAGAGTTCAGAGACAATATGAATACGTTTGTTCGATATATTCTGTGTTGGTGTGCGTGATGCGACCAGGTTTTGTACGATCCGCTAGCGCACCTGTGAGACGTCAGGTTGCGTGAGTGCGTCCTACCTGTAGACGAGGCTGAGGACGGTGTAGAGCAACACGAACAGGATGAACTCCCGGTACAGCAGCTTGTAGATGCTTCCCCTCCAGCGCAGCAGCAGCCGGTGGAAGCTGAAGAAGGTGGCGTTGGCGACTTTGCTGGAGTAGGTGACAGTCATCCTGAGGCCGTCCGACCTGAACGCACCGAAGTTTCACGAGTTTCTGCTTAAAACCCGATAATTAGCAGCATCATGAATCTGGATGACCAATCCGGCTGTTTGGTAGTTGTTTCACTCACAGGAAAACGAGTCTGAGCGTCCTCAGTGCTGCTTTTCATCAGGCTTCTGCTTTCCTGACAGTCAAATGCCAGCCTCCCTCTCTCTCCCTCTCTCTCTCTCTCTCTCTCTCTCTCTCTCTCTCTCTCTCTCTGTGCGATGCTCTCTCGCCCGGCGTCTCCACCATGATGCTGTCCGGTTGCCCAGTAATGCCAGGCAGCACACACACACCGGCCACAGCTACATCGATGAGCCGCGTGTCGTCATGTTTCAGCCGTGTGTGTGTGTGTGTGTGTGTGTGTGTGTGTTAGCATAGCTTGCGGCGGAGGTAAACATGTAAAAACAGAAACAGTGTCAGCAGCAACATGATGTCATCGCAGTAAATAGCTGCAGCCAGTCACAGGGAGGCCTGGTGGTTTTATTTAGCTGCACTTTTTATTGTTTACTAAACACGTTTATTAAAAGCATGAAGTGAAATGAACGCACTTTGTTTTATAGGAGTTTCCATTCACTGCAACTCAGCTGAACTCTGGTTTAGCAACATCTAGTGGCCATTAGAGGAACTGCAACTCAACACATGTTTTGAAATGTACTTTTTAAACCGATGTATGCCTCTCTGAAGGCACAGATTTAAAAACAAACAATGCAGCAAAGGGTGTTTTAGTGAAATTCCCAGTTTGACCACATGGTGGTGATGTTGTTTACTGTAACAATGAATAAATGCAGACACAGCGATGAAGAAGCTCATCGCCACGAACCTAAAAAGGACAGAATTTGTATTTCTAAAGAAAAGTTTTCCCGTTCACGTCTTCTCAACTGAAGTTTGGTTTAGCAGTTCCTAGTGGCCACCAGAGGAACTGCAAGTCAGCTTTGTTTCTTAAAAACAGATTTATGCTTCTCCGAAGGTACGAGTAAAGAAAATAATGTGAAGTGGGACTGCTGAAAGCTAATTTAAACGTCTAACTTTACAGCAGAAAAGAACACATTTACAGCCACGGTATCAGCTCTTACTCAGAGTAATTAATTTTATTTATAATAATTACAAAATTATTACTGTCTTTGTCATGGTGCCCATTGTTCTCGATGTTCTCTCCTTGCTAACATTAACAGCCTGTAGTTTGGGCGACGCCTCCTCTGGTCACTACAGTAAACATATAATATTTATTTTCATCCGCAATATTACAATTTCATGTCATATAATCACAATGTCATGGGTAATATTATTGTCAGTATAACTTCTTACTTTTCAGTTCTCATCTTATTTTAGGTAACTTGTTTTAATTTTCATTAATGTACCGTAATTGTATCCTGCTGCTTTTCTTTTAGGCGTTACATTAATTCTGTTAAATAGTTTTATTTTTTGAGCAACATCTGGGCACCAGTAGGTCCCATGTGATGGATAAAGTTCTGTCTTGTCCTTGTTTATCTAGACAAAGTCCATGAGGCTCCACCTGGTGGCGCAACCAGGTACTGCAGCTACTCAACAAGACATTTTCTGATATGAGGGACCTTCGTTTTCCGCCTTATAGGTTAATGTAGTTTTTAATTAAATGAATTGTTATGGGGATTAATTGATTCACCATAATTATTGACATCCACATACTACTATGATTACCACTAGTAGTAGTAG